AAACACACATACATTGGTTTTTGTTGGTCTGTACACTTCTGCGCCATCAATTGTAAACAGAATAACGCCTCTCGTGTTCCCAATCCACTCTTAAACCCAAACTGTTCATAGCCGCTTTCTTGCTCACACTTCTTATAAATTCTGTTATGTATTATTTTAAGTAATACTTTCAGTTCGTGACTCATTAAACTAATAAGTCTGTAGTCACTGAGATGTCGAGCTGATGTTTTTTTCGGAAGCGGTACAAAAGTTAATATTGATACACTCAATATAAATGTTGATGGGTAATTGATTAGATAACAATTTATAACAAAGTCAAAGAAAGTTGTTGAATAGTTGCTCCAATAAAACAAAAGTACTATACAACTAAAACTTTACATTATTGTTCATTCAATAACTATTGCTTTATATCTTTTCGAAAGACTGTTAGTGATTTAATTGTAAACAAGTTTGTTGTTTATTTGTTACAAAGTTATTATTTGTTATAAAGTGTGAAGCAAAAAAGGTATAAAGTATATAGGGGCGGATACAGGAATTTATCTTAGGGGGGCCCGGAATACATTTTAGGGGGTCCAAATAAAAGGTAATGTAGAATATGCTTTTTAGAGCGTCATTTTTAACCCAGAAGCCTAGTTTTTAACCCGATTTCTAGATTCTAGGGGATAGCCCTTGGCCCCATGGGCCTCCCCTCTGTATCCGCCACTGTGAAGTAAGGTTGGAAAGTCGTTAAGCTATGCTTTGACATGGTTGTAGTATTGGATTTTACAGAAAAATAATTATAAAGGGTTTTAATTAATAGGTAAAATTAATTTTTACCTATTTTAAGTTGTAGATTTATTATATTATTATGTTTATTAAAATCAAAGAAAAAATAGCCGATATATTACTAACCTTTACAGATTAAGACTACTGCCTTCTCCAGTGTTAATACCGTATAATTGAAAAAAAAAACGACGTTCAGTTGGCTTGGCAATGACAATCTCCATAATTGTACATATTATAAAATGATAGCGATCTTCATTTTATAGCGATGGCTCACGGCTTTTTTTATGGTATTTTACCAAGAAAATTCTTCTTTTAAAGATAATGGTCAATAATAAAAGGTAAAAAGGCCAATGTAGATATATGTATGTGCACCTTAATTTTGGGGATCCAAGAACTCCATCAAACATACCCTTTTTTCCTATTTTCATCTCTTGTAATTCCGTGGTCTGGGTTAACGCCGATGTTTACGAGACATATTTGTTTTCTAAAAAACATCCTGTTACTGACATTAGGTCTATCTTTGCTTAGCTCCCTAGCTCCCTCCTTAATAATTAAAATTCATACATACAGTAGACTAAATAACTGCTTTAAAAAGAACACTGCAATTACCATGACCAACTTTAGTACAAAATGATATTAATTAGGCTAAGCGATACATACTAAATAATTCATAGGGGAACTTTGAGATAGTGCCAAAATTGTCCCGGAAAGATAATTTTTTAGAAGCAAATATATTTTTCTCCCAGTGAGAATAAAAAAACGTTTTTCTAGGTAAAATATGATAAAAGTGTTAGATATACTAACTAGTTTTTCACAGAACTTCACAGTTTTGTTTGTAGCGTAAAAAGTTTACATAATTCGTAAAATATACGCCTATTTGTAGTTGACTTTTTGAAATGTTAATAAACATGCAGTGCTCAATGCAGTATGTCCAGACTTTAATAGCCCTTTAATAGTAGTAAAGATAACTTTATTTTTGAAAATGACGAATCATACATTACACAATCTGAAAATGTGAGGAATGTAGTATGCTGCAGTCAGAAAGATACAGATCGGGAAAGTTAGCAACTCATTGAAAGCAGAAATTATAAAATACGATCCTGCTTGGGCTGCTACAATCCTGCTTTATCTTGCTGCAAATCTCAACCCAGCCACACCTATCAATTTTGAGCTATAGTTACTTTTATTTTGGTTGCTGACTTCCCAGTTGGCAACACATGAGAAGCAGGATCGCCAAAGCTGGTTCCCGCTTGCGCTGCCATACCCCTGTTGCTTCCTGCTCTAAATTTCATCCCAGCAACACTTGCTGTTTTTAAGATACAGCAAGTTTAAGTCTGATTGGTGACGTCACACAGAGCAACAGAATAAAAGCAGGATGGCTGAAACAAGTTCCTGCTTTTGCTGCTATAATCCTGCCTCATCCTTGCCTTCAAACCCTATACCAGCCACTCTTGCCGTTTTTGAAATACAGCAAATTTCGTTTTGACTACTGGAAATCGGAAATTGGAGTTTTCCAATCATGTAACCTGTAAAAGATCAAATATAAAATGCTTCTAATGATTCCTTTCACAACGAGACTACCAGTAAATTACGTAAGAATACCCATGGGCTCATTGGGGATGTGAACTGGAAAAAAACATTGAACAAATATCTATGAAAAATTAAATTTTTATTAAACAAAAAACTAAAAAAACTATAAATCACGAAAGATGACCATCACTATGAAAGATGACCATCACTGTTTATCAAAAACAATTGATACCGCCAATTCAAATGTGTTAGACAGAGATAAATGGAGTTAGGCAGGAATGTGTCTTAGCGCCTCTTCTATTCAACATATTCATGGCAGCGCTCTCCACTATAGTGGACAGCAAACTGCAGGAGAGAGGATTGGGCATTAGATACAGATATGACGGCCGTCTGTTCAACATAAAAAGACTGAGGGCAAAAACACGTACAAAATTTATCACAGAACTTCAATACGCTGATGACTGCGCTCTAGTTGCAAACACGTTACAACAATTACAAGAAATATTGAGCACATATACCTGGGCATACGAGGCTTTGGGCCTTAAGCTAAACATCGACAAAACCAAAATCATGTGCACTCCCCCGGAAGATCATAACAATGCTGTAAAAATCGGAGAGGAACTATTGGAATATGTAGCGGAATTTAATTACCTCGGCAGTTTGATTTCGGAAAAGGCCAATATCAACTCTGAAATTCAGCACAGAATTAGCACCGCCTCAAGAGCATTCTGGAAATTAAAAGAGAGGGTTTTCTACAATCATGACTTGAGTACAAAAACGAAACTGGCAGTGTACCGAGCAATTATAATCCCCACCATGTTATATAGGAGCGAAACCTGGTTGCCGTACCGCCGACACATGAAGGCATTAAACAAGTTGCAACAGAGACACCTTAGACAACTCTTAAGAATCCGGTGGTTCCATCATGTCTCAAACGTATCGGTCCTTGAAAAAGCTAACTGCGAGAGTATTAAAGTCATGGTTACAAAATCCCGCTTAAGATGGGCTGGTCACGTATGCAGAATGCAAGAAAACCGCATACCAAAATATCTGCTTTACGGTGAGCTTGTAGACGGTAAGAGGAGGCCGGGTGGACAATTCAAAAGGTACAATGACATTTTCCACGAAAACTTAAAGGGGATTAACATGCAGAATCACTGGGAAGAAGCAGTTCACAAAAAAAAGAACTCAATGGAGAAGAATTGTAAACTCAGTTAACAGCGACAACCAAAAAGTAAAGAGGCAACAAAGCAATGAGATTTTTGAATGTCCGGAGTGCGGTAGGAAAATAACATCACGTATCGGGCTTTTCAGTGACAGAAAAGCTCATGAAAGAAAACGCCTTGCGTGACCATTTTTTGATGCGTGTCGAATACTCATCAGCGAGTAATGGCAGTAGTAGTAGTAGTAGTAGTAGTTAGGCAGAGACAAAAACAAGCAATCCAAAAGCGGCGGGAAATACATACATACATACATACATTGCAAATTAAATAAAAGCTTTTAAAAATATTTTTAAAAACAAGCTTTTATCTAAAAAGAGGAAAATAATTTTCTGGGACACTTTTACTATCAACTTGTAATCTCATTACACAATTTATATGATATAAAAGCTTGTTGCTGACTTGTCCGCTAGGGCACGGAACGAAACGTAAAAAAACAAAAGTTTAAGGATAGATTGGCCGTCAAAAATACTTAGGTGTCTTTAAAAAAAATACAAAATAACACAAATCACACTTGTGAGAAATATGAATTCAAATTCATAATAGAAAACTGGAAAATTTGAGGTTATAGTTCGCGGGTACGTAAAGGCGTTTTCGGATGTCACACTAAAAACTCTAAAGTTACTCCTGAGTCCTGAGAACACTGAACCTGCCTTATTTTGTTCAACTGTTCGGAATAATTATTTATGGCTTGGAAGCTTATACATATTTTAGGCAAATAAAGCAAAAAAATAGCAGCCTAAAGTGAAACTTATCAAGTTAAAAAAAAATAATTCCTATAATCTTAATGTGCGACTGATTACCAGAAATCGATTCGTTCTATTTTAAAAACGACAAGAGTGGCTGGTATGGGGTTTGAAGCAGGATAAGGCAGGATTATAGCAGCCAAAGCAGGAACTTGTTTCAGCCATCTTGCTTTAATTGTGTTGCTATGTGTGACGTCACCAATCAGACTTAAACTTGCTGTATCTTAAAAACAGCAAGTGTTGCTGGGATGAAATTTAGAGCGGGATGCAGCAGGAGTATAGCAGCGCAAGCAGGAACCAGCTTTGGCGATCCTGCTTCTCATGTGTTGCCAACTGGGAAGTCCGCAACCAAAATAAAAGTAACTATAGCTCAAAATTGGTAGGTGTGGCTGGGTTGGGATTTGAAGCAGGATAAAGCAGAATTGTAGCAGCCCAAGCAGGATCGTATTTTATAGTTCCTGCTTTCAATGAGTTGCTAACTTCCCCGATCTGAAAGATACCCCAGTTTACGGTACTCTTTTATTTTGTATATTTTTTTTCGAGTAAGCGAAAACCCCAGTTTTTTTCTGATAGATTATGTTTTCAAGCGCTTATGACGTAAAAACAAATTTGTTTGGATTTTACTACACACTTAAGCATTTAATGACTACAAGAGTTGACGCCAATAACATAATAGTACGCTATTTTTTATGCAATTATTCTAGAAAACAAATTTGGTGATGTACTATTCTGCTTTTATTTGTTAACATTTTACACGTTTTTTACCACGTTCCAGGTGTTTTTAAATGCCCTATTAAAACTAAGAAGTCGTAATAATATTAGAAAATTTAACGTAATTTTAGTGTCACTTATTTATTAACACAGGTAAGTAAAAGTATTAACAAATTAGTATTTTACTGTAATTTTGTTATTTCTTGTCAACTTTATATTAAATTTTGAAATTGGAAAACGTACAGGGTGTCCCATTTTAGTTGAAATCATACGGTATCTCTAATTATAATTAGTAAAGATAGGAGGATGCGGTTTGCACAGACCTGTCCACAAACCTCAAAAAATTTTCATAGGCCTCTTCGTTTCTGAGCTACATTTTTTTTGAAAATTTAGCAATTTGGTACCGACCCCGTATCTTTGTCATTCTGGATGATATCAAGAAGGTGAAAACTGATTGTTATAGAGCTTTGTACTTAAAATACAGTGGCGTAGTCTGTTTTTCTACGAAAAAAATATTTTTGAAAATATGAACTAAAGTTATGTTTTTTTCATATGGAACACCCTGTGTATGTATAATCCGTCTTGCTATGCTCAAAAATATATATATCACTTTATATGTATTTTCACTATTTACTGCAATATTTAAAATTATATCATTTTCTTATTAGTAGGCCGTGATAAATAACAAAAAAATCAAAATGGTATTTACTAAAATAGTCATACACATATTAAAATTTTATTTGGGATTGATATATTTTACTTTTGAACTGTTACCACTGAATTTCTGAATATATATGTTTTTTATAACGGAATTTATTTTAACGGGATGGGTTTGCAAACATCTAAAAGCTTGCATTATTAAAGCATTTTCCAGGTGTTTGACATTGTTGTAGTTGCTACGATATATTTCATATCAAATCAAAAATCCGGGAATTAGGGGGGGGTATCATATGGGTCCATTGGTTCCAATTCATTGATTTGAGAAATAATAATTTAACAAAACAAAATTTTAATATTGTTAAAGTTGTGAGGGGAAACCCCATCTTGCTGAAAGTATATTTCACGTAAATTAGCTAAAGGAATATCTAAAAGTTCCGGTACGATAGCTTCCAAGATTTACAAATAGCGGTTAAAGAGTTTCCCTAATAAAATATAAAGAATTTATTAGTGGCTCCCAAAATAAAACAAGAGACAGATGGCAGTATACTTCTAATAATTCTTTAGTTTCTTTTATTATCAATCATGGCGTCCTACTAGTAATAATGATCTTTTAATAAAAACTTTTAAATATTGCAGTAAATAGTGAAAATAAATATAGAGTGATATATATATATATATATATATATATATATATATATATATATATATATATATATATATATATATATATATATATATATATATATATGATATTTTTTTTTCAGAAGCTTATGACAAGCCAGATCATATAGTTTATAAATATATAGGGTGTTTATAGAAATATTTTTAAGAAAGCATAACTTTAGTTCATATGTTGAAACGTTCGTTACTACGCCACTTTATTCCACGTAAAAAATTCTACAATAAAAAGTGTTCACCTTCTCGATACCTTTATCAATAACAGAGATACAGAGGGTGTCCCAAATTTCAAAATTTTCAAAAAGACCCTGTAGCTTAGAAACGAAGAGGGCTATTAAAATTTTGTTTACGGCATCTTCGACGTAAAAGTAGGACAGGTTTGTGCAAAACTCACCCTTCTATCTTTCTATCTTCTATTCACTAATAACGTAGATACCGTATGATTTCAACCAAAATGGGACACCCTGTACAATAACTATTAAATTAAACTGAAAATTCCAAATTAAATATTACGTTTAACTGAAACAGGTATTTTTTATTATACCATATGTTATATCATAAAAATAACCGTCAAATTCTGATATAAGGTCAGGTTTTCGATCCTTCCAATATTGCATATTTTCCATTTTTCTAGTAATATCTTCAGGCGCCAAAATTGAATCACCCTATACCGGGTGCGTCTCAAAAGTGGCTCACTCCTATAACTTTTTTATTTTTTTCAGATAAAAAACAAGTCTTAGTATGTTAGAATATGACATAAATTAGTATTGATTCACTTCTTTTCGGCCACTTTTTGTTTCACCGCAAATGATTATTACTGATTTTTAAATGGCACCGTCCGCGTCCGTCGGTATTTTTTTACTTCATTTGATAGAGCATTACACTCTGAATAGAATGACATATCATATGTCAGCTTTTGACATTTTCGTTTAAAACAAAATTGTATTTTAAATTTCAATCTAGAGTGCCATGGCTGTGTTAAAAACACTAATTTGTAATCAGGGAGCCTTGGAAAAATATATTTGATCGTCTAATGTTTTTAGTATCTTATCCTGGCTAGTTAAAGATGCCCAAATCGTATTTTTAATCATTTCTCATCTTTTTTTCAAGTGGAACGAGGGTGGCTTACATTTGAAAAAAGTATTTTTTTGTCGTTAAAAATGATCGTTATGAATCGCATGTTGCAATTTCAAATAAACCATATTCGAAAATGTCAAAAGTTGACAGATGATATGTCATTCTAATCAGTGTCGTTTCCTGTCGAATAAAGTAACAAAAATACCGAGAGTACTATTTAAAAATCAAGTTACAATCATTTCCGGTTAAACAGGAAGTGGCTGAAAACAATTGAATACGTCAATCTAGCCTAATTCATGTCATATACTAACATACCAATTCTAGATTTTTATGTGAAAAAATAACAAAGTTATAGGGGTGAGCCCTCGGGTGAGCCACTTTTGATACGCACCCGGTATACATTCACCGGTACGAAAAATGGGCCCCTTAAGATTTTGATGTATTTTAAAGTTTTAGGATTTTGATGATTATTTGAGAAATTTGTAGCTCATTTATTTGACTTTTTAGTATCTTAATTAAAATGACAAGGACAAAAGCAAATGCATGATGCACGGCTTTAATGTAAAAATTACATAAAATATGTCTTCTTCAAAAGCGAATATCTCCAACAAAAATAAAGCTATTGAGATGAACCAAAAAACAAGTTGGTCTCTGTATCTCGCAAACTATCAGCTAATTTGAAAATTTAGCTTTATTTTCAAAAAACTCAAAAACCAGGAGGGGAGTCACCTCCTAAACATTCTATATTCTACATCTATTGCGGTTTCCGAGATACCAGTGCTCGTACCCCGAATTTGTAGCACACAATATATTTAAAAATATCTTGTGCTATTTTAATACGACCTTAATAATTAAGTATTAATAATTGACTGTTCATTAATACCAAATTTCAATTGTTGCCGACGTTTAGCAATTAGTTAATTGTCATGTATAAGGCACGTGAAAGCAAATAATCTATAGAATATTTTTATTTAAGTTGAGGCAGTAGAACATTAGTCATGTCCTAGTTAAATAAAGCTAAGTTCGGTCCTTTTTAGCCGAAAAAAATATCAGCAAAGTGTGGTTTGAGTTTGGCGATATAATCAGCTGGTAATTTTGTTAATTTTATTAATTTCTCATTAATTCATCGACTAAAGATATCGTTAATTAATTTTAATTTAATATAATGCAGGATGATTGATATATATTATAAACAATAAAGCAGTTTTTCAGCCTGTATGTACAATTCTTTAAACTTTTTGAAGATCGTATTTGCAATTAGATACAAATTTTTCATGTAGAAGTTAATTCACGATCAGCAGCACATAAGCCAAACTAAGTTTGCTGAAAACTAGAAGTTAATCGAAAAGCAAATTTATGAAAACTATACTAGGAAGAGTAAACTGGATTAATGATGTACCCATTCAAGTTGAGGCAACATTATATACAGACGACTCAAGAATGTCGTCAAGACTAGAAGCTGAAATAGTTCCAAATAGCTGTTAATAACCCCAAACCTAGGTAGCAAAAATAGTAGGGCCGAAACAAGAAATAGCTTCTCCGTAAGTCTATCTAATGATATCAGAATTCTCTGGCCAGAAATAACGGTAATCCAATATTGCGAAGAACAAGTAACATGGCAGCAAAGAATACATCGTTCGCAGTAGCCAATGTAACCATCTTCACAGACATCTAAGGGGTGCTAAATGCACTCGGTTCCATGGAGATAAGTTTTAGACTAGAGTGCGATTGTATGTGGTGCTGTAAACATGTTGGGTGCCCAATAGCATGGGCATCAAAGCACGGCGGGAGTTACAAGAGTAACAAAAAGGCAGATGAAATGGCCAAACAAGACTCATCAATAGCAGAGTTGCAAAAGTAATCACGAAAATGGTCACAAAATGGTAGGTAGCCAAAACATTTCTAGAATGGTGGAGAAATTCACCAAGGCAGATAGTCCAAGAACTGGGAGTTAAATGAACTGCCTGATAGGTTTAATACTGGAATTGCAATGCGGAGCATTAGCTAGTATATAACTGCTCAGCTGCTGAGTGTTCGCTATCACTGTTGCCATATACAGGGTGTCCCATTATGGTTGATATCATACAGTATCTCCGTTATTAGTGAACATAGAAAATGCGGTTTGTATAAACCTGTTCCACTTCTTTGTCAAATGGAAAATGCTGCGAACAAAATTTTCATAGCTCTCTTTGTTCTTTAGCTACAGTTTTTTTTTCGAAATTTTGCTATTTGGGACACCCACCCCGTATCTCTGTTACTGCAGAAGGTATCGAGAAGGTGAAAACTGTTTTTTGTAGAACATTTTACGTAGAATACAGTGGCGTAGTCTGTTTTTCTACGTAAAAATTATTTTTGACAATATGAACTAAAGTTACGTTTTCCTAAATAGAACACCCGGCCTGTATATTTAAAACTCATTTGATCTGGCTTGCTTTGTGTTTCTCAAAAATATATATCACTCTATATGTATTTTCACTATTTACTGCAATATTTAAAAGTCATATTCATATTCTTATTAGTAGGCCTCTGGTAACTTATCAGGCCCTTTTACTCCCAGCTCTTGGACTAAGACACAGGCGAAAAAGTTCATAGTAGAACAATTGCCAAAATTCACGACAGAACTAATAAGCAAAAACAGAAAAACAGACACATCTCTAGTGGGTCTAACAGGACATTTTATAAACTGAATACGCATCTAAAGCTGAAGGGATTGACGGACAAAGCCATGTACAGGTTCTGTGAATCAGAAGAAGAAATGACAACAAATTTTACGTCGGTGCGATAGCCTGGCAAATATGCGGTCCTTTGTGATAGGCAGTGATAGGCCACTAACAATGAACTATATGAAGGGTTCATAGTCTCCAAGTTGCTAGACATTTTGAAAAGGATAGAGCTGGAAAATGTATATTAAGGATCAGAAAAAGATCACAGAAGATCTGAAAAGGTCGCATTGGAACAGGCCGTTAGCCACCTTGAGGAAACTAATTTAGTTACAAATTTGAATGTCTTATACGGCCACACAGAACGCGATTAGTGCGACATAAATATGTTTAGCGTTAAGTATAAATGCATTTTTAGCTTTTAAAGTTCTATTTCAATTTGTGTCCATTTAAAGACAAGCAAAAAAAGCACCAGGTCTGCACTTTCTAGAGGCCACGTCGATGAGAAGGTTACAAAGAAATTAGTACTAAGCGATAATCTTAAATTTTGGGCAAATTTTTGGAATAGTGTAGAATGAGTTTTTTTGAACTTTCGAAGATAAGCTTCGTACGTGAGGACAGGCAAGATACACTGGTTAAAGACCTTTCTTTTTAAACATATTGGAAGATTAGATCTCAGTATACGCTTTCGTTTACCGAATGCCGTCCACGACAAAGCTATTCTTCGTAGGTGTTCGTGCGTGTGATTATTCCTTCTAACTCCGATCTCATGTTGTAACTATTTATAAGCATCGGTTGTTCCAAAAGTATGTTATTAATGTCTTGAGGTGATTTTCAAAAATCGCCTTTTAGTGCTTAATTATGTCATCTAGAGAATCTCTGGATAAAATTTGATACTCCTAGAATAGATTTTAACAAATATTTATGCAATTCCTCATCCCTAATTTCACCCCTAAAGCCCCATTCCTCATTCAGAACGTAAAAATTAGTGGAATAAATTTGTGGTGTTAATTACCTACCATTTCTACTTAAACATTTATGATCATTCACAAGCTTTAAAAAAAATAAATTTAATAAAATATCCTAGCAACACCTTCCCGTAGTCAATTGTATCCATAAAGAAAGCCTATAATACTTATAAAAAGTTAAGAAACAATAAACTTCTGATTTCTAACAACAATTTCTTTTTGACGGATCAAAGGCCTAAAATTTGTCAGTAATGTCATTAATCAGAGGCCAATGATTAGCACCGGACCCGGCGTGCGGACTCAGCCTTGCGACCCGGCCTGCGGATTTCGCCTACCGATCAGATCTTTCGACGTTTTATAGCAGTTTTGGACTGGCTCGTGATCTTTCGAAATTTCGGAAAGTTTAAATAACTCATATTTAACAGATTCGGCATTCATATGTATTTTTTAAGGATGAACAACAACCGAAAACGCATTTTAGCTTGTGTTATGACGTATGTAGGTGTAGGTAGTACCTTGCTTGATATAATAAACAACTTGTAACACATTTGTTGCTTTGAGAGACAAACTGTATATAAATAAGAGTTATTTTTTTATTCATTGGGTGCACGTCATCAATGACACCATGCGTCGTCTTATGGAGTTTGCTGGTGGTCGTATTATGATGTGCAACCAAAGTTATTTTAATTTCCCATATAATTATTTACTTAAATAGGCTTGAGGTAAATTATTAATTGTTTTTTTATTGGACTCCGTAACCGATTAGAATTACTAATTTATTAAATTTAAAATAAATTAATGCTGGCGTAAATAGTTAAATATTTCTCTAAAATTGTTGTATTCCGTCTTTAATTCAAGATATTTAAGAACTGTTTTAGTTCCCATACAGATAAATGTTTATCCGAATAAAAACTGCCGTATTTTCGCTTAGAGAGAAAAAGCGTCCAAAAGGTAAAATCCGTGGACTTTATCTTTCATTCGTTTGTTTAGACCAATCTAATCTCACAGGCCAAGTCCGCGGACTTGGCTTCTGACAGTCTTAGTCCACCAGAAGCTTGGCCTGCCAAAAACTTGGTTTGGCCCACAAACGCAAATATTTCATCCGAAAGCCGAGTCCAAAGGCTGGTGTATGGGCAGCTAATATAATCCGTCAAGAGAAATTTTGGTTAGAAATCAAAAAGTTTATTGTTTTATAAGCGACTTATTAAGATTTTTCTGTGGATACAACTGTCTACCGCAAGATGTTGCTATGCTAGTATATTCTATTAATTTTAATTGGATTTTTAGACCTTGCGAATGATCATACATTAAGTATAAAGTGTAGGTTATTGAAACCACTTTATTCCAGTAATTTAGAGGGGTTGAATGAAGCTTTATAGGTTGAATATTCCCCCAAAAAATCGCTTCTAGTGGTCTAGAATAGCTTCTTCGAGTGGTGTATTAGGTTCAAATTTTTACTTCTATGTAAAGCACTTCACTAACTTTAAGGTCATTTTTTGCTAAATGTCAAATTTAGTAGATACCCGAAAGCAACTGGTTAAATTTTATTATTTTATATATTATATATTATTATTTATTTTACTATGTGACTTGATATACTTTAATTATGACATGATATATTTTAATTATGATTATTGTTAGTTCCCAGTAGTTAGTACGCAGAAAAAAAATCGTGGGTGTTTGGGAAGGCTTGAAAGGAAACAATGTTTTTGCGACGTTTCGCGACTTTATTGTCGCTTCTTCAGGCACTATACGAGAAGCAGTTTTTTTAAAAATATCAAACAACTTGTAACACATTTGTTGTTTGCACTTACCCAAAACATATTAATCCATATTATGCCTACAAACATTCATGGCGATTCCAACCGCCAACACTAAGACACATACAGACGAATCGAATAGAAAAAACTGCTTCCTTCTTTCCTTTCAAGCCTTCCTAAACACCCACGATTTTTTTTGCATATATTTTAATGTAAAATGTAACATTATACTATAAATTTCGACACTCAATTAATAAAAAATTGTGGGTGCACTATATGCGCATATTTGAAGTGACACTTCTTCTTACTTCCGTCTGTTTGTCTGTCTGCTCGTCTGTCCGTTTGAGGACTCCATTCGGGTACCTCTATACACGTGGAGATTTTGGTTCCAATCGACCCATAATTAAGAAAAATACTGATGATTTCGTATATTTAGAGGCATCGGTTCGAAACATCGAGGGCGTCATCGCGGAACTTTTGACATTTCTTACGTCAAAACTAACTGTCACAGTGACACGTGTCATACACGGTCGAGTTGGCCTTGGTCCAATTTCTCGACATACCAAATTTTATTTAAATCGGACGATTTTTTTATTTCATTCATTGATGATGGGGTTTCGTAGTGCACAAAACGTCATCAAAATATCACGAAAAGATGGGGCTCCTCGAGCCCCCTCTACGTTTTGAGTTTTGGCCCCGAGTTACAATGCTCCCATTAAATTGGACGATTTTTTGATATATTGATGATGATGGTGTTTCATAGTGCACGAAACGCCGTCAAAATATCATGAAAATCATGTTACCAAAAAAGTTTCACTTCAAAGATATGTAATACGATAAGGACTTTATCTGTGACATGTAGTCACTGATGTAATTATAACAGCCTTCTTTTCCTTTCAGTTAAATTATGAAACTATTATGGCGAATCAGTTGCATCTTGTCTAGTGTAATCGCCATATTATGGATATTTCCTCTAGTTGGGGCAAGTAAATATCACCCCGAGGCTTTACTGACAACGGTAAGTACGCAACGGACAATAATTTTGAAATAATAAAGATTATACAATTCGATTTTTTGATCTAGTCTAACAAAAAATGGTAAATTCCTTAATTATTATGGTTTAAGTAAATATATTTTTCTACAATTTCTTGAAAACAATTAATTATCGACGATATAGAAGTATAAACAAATTACCATTAACTGTTTAATTAGAAATTACAAATAAATTAGTTGTTTATTTGTCCAAAAAAGTATGTGAGGTTTTTTTCGATAACTTAATAAAAAAACGTTAAAAAGGGGTTTTGGCTGCCAATTTCTAAAGGCGGACTGTCACGACTCGTCTACTTGGCAAGTACGTCAATATTTGCGTACTTGGAAAGTATCGCCAGTTTGTAAACAACATTGGCAAGTGTGGAGCTCACACAACGCGACGTGTGTCCATTTCAACAAGTACACCATGCATCGCAAACATTGTTTAAATCCTTGGCAAGTAAACAGTATAAGTAAGTAAACAACATCATTTGAAAACTACACGGGTAAAACCAGCTTTGTGCATTTTAATTGGAGCCGAAAAAAATGCAATTTAGTGTTTTTAAATTAAATGTGTTATTTTCGGTTGAATAATTAGCAAAATAGAATACAATAATTCGAGCAAAAATACCAATTCTGAATTATTAATATTGTTAATTATCGCCATATTCTGAAATACCGAAATAAAAATGTCAAAATGCAAAACAAAACAGGGGAAAACAAGAGATGTCCAATTAAAGGTTGTATAAAACCTAAATTTAAAATATTATTTTATTTGTTGTAGGAAGAAAACTAATATTTAGTAGGTTTTTATTAGAATACATAAATTTACTACAAGTAATACTAATTGCAAGATGCATGCTTGTCGCCCATGCGTAAGGGCACCTCTGGTTTTTGCCATTTACGGTTTGCTTTTCATTTACGCGTGGACTACTCTGGTTTTTCGCTTGTACGGCAAAATAAACAAGCTGTAATATCTCTGGGACTAAGCGTATTATTGCTTTCTTTTTCTCTAATGACGCTAACAGTTGCCTATAAAGTTGTATCGCTAACTTAATTTCTATGAAAATGAGACATATCTGGTTTTTCCTGTGTAGTCTTCATTTGTCCACTCCATTTATTACTGAAGGAACGATTTATGTATGTCGCCAATATTGAAGTTATTAATGTAAATTTGATATTATAAAATATAATATTGTTTTAACGTTTTAAATTATCCGCAATTAACTCGAAAAACACTACGATCCGCAAATAAACGGGACATACGCTATAATAGTACAATTATTATTTGCGCAGTCGTTTGAGCGCCTCGGCAAGTATAGACAAGGCTGGCCGAGGCTATACTTGGCAAGTGTACGAATAATTGTGATCCTTTGACTCGGGCTATGTTTACCGACAGAGAGTATGAACGCGACGAGTGACAAATAATTGCACAAGGAAACCGTTCTCACGACATGGCAAGTATATTCCAATAACAAATGTTTGTCAAGTACCGGGTGGCCAACTAAGAATGGACGCCGGCTGTATCTCAAAAACTACTTATCGTATAACTTTGGGAAAAAAATTCTAATAAGTAAATCGACCAAGACAAATCGCTGGAAATTATTTTAAAGTTCGAAAAATGCCCGCTAGTGGGCGTTTCTCTGATAGCCAATCAGAAAATACGGTTTTTCTCAAAAATATGCAGGTGAACAGGTATTTTAAATATTACTATTGCAATCATCGAGAAATTTGCAATTTTTATTGAAAATTTATTTAATATTATTAAAATTGAGTATTTTGCTCTATCTCATAAAATAAAGTGGTGGGGGAAGGTTAAACTTGCTTTTAATGCAATAAGGATAACTCTGGTTTGGGTTAGCCGATTTAAACAAACTAGGGCTCGTTTCAAAGAGCTTTTCTTCCTTAATGATCTCCAGAATAAATTTTGTTTCCAGATTTTTTTTTTGCGGTAGCTAGAGGGCGCTGTTTGACATCATAACAGATATTGCGCTTTTGCATAAAAAATTTAAATAGGAGGCTATATTTCTATTTTCACAGTTGAGCACAAAATTTCCAAAATATTAGCGCAAACCGCAACTTCATATCTTCTTTCTAACGGGAGATATTTAGAAAATAAATCATTATACCGGCCACCCGGTACACGAGTCGTGAGAATGCGCATTAATAATAAACAAGTAGAATGGTAGTCGAATTTGTAGTCAATGTAAAGGGGGAACAGAAACTGTTACTCCACAGTTGGAGTCAAAAAGACAAGAGTGAAGAAACAATTTATTAGAAGTGGGAATATTACAACCAATTTAAGTTATTCAATGCTCATATAATAATTCGAGGGAAAAATATTATATAGGAGAGTAACACACATTACCATATTACTGATGCTAGTGAATGTTAAACTTTTGATATGTTGTTGGTTTGGTTTGGTATTCGTCTTTAAATGCCATAGCAATATTGACAGAAAAATTGACATTTTGGGGAATTTTTATTCATATCTGTGAAATTTCTTTTCGGTAAATTGTTTTCGGGCATTTTAGTAGATCCGTAATATTTTTTAATTTTTTTCTAATATGCCAATTTTAGGAACAAAAAGTTAAAAGACACGGTTACCCGATCGAAGTATACCAAATTACCACGCAAGACGATTATCTGTTGCCTCTCTACCGTGTACCCCATGGAATATATAACAAAAATCGCGACAACAAAAACAAAAGTGTGGTCGTTTTACTCCATGGGATGGGAGGATGTCCGGACAACTATCTTCTTTTTGGAAGAGATTCTCTGCCGTATTTTTTTGCCGAAAGAGATTTTGATGTGTTCCTGTTTTCATCGAGGGGTACACCCAGCCCTTTCAAAAGAAACCATAAGAGGTGGGATTGGAATGAAGACCTAGACTACTGGGTATATAGGTATGTAAACAGGGTAATACAAATTAACGCATCCAAATTAGATCTCCAAAATTGGATTTGGAAATTGGAAAAAATTGGATCTCCAAAATTATACATTATCTTATACGCTTATATAGAGTAATTTTAATGACGTCGCCAACACCGCAATATTTAAAATACTAATACTATAGTCTGTCCAACGACAAAATCCTTGACAGTGATAGATGTGTCTGTCATTTTAATTTCAAAGTAGTTTATTTTATTTTACAAAGACATAAGGTGGTACAATCGGAACGCATAGCGGGAAATTAATATTTCTTAAGCTTCATTCAGAACCTCAAAATCAGTGGAATAAATTAGTAGTTTCAATTTTTCGTAGAAGTTTGTTCACCTAATTTTAATGTAATGCATTCCATTCATTTGAACGTTATAATTAGCGGTAGTAATTTTCAATCAGTGGAAAAAGTTAACAAACTTTTGACTTTTCCACTAATTATACTTCAAAATTTGCGAGGAATGTCATTTTGGCCTTTGATTATCACCCATCAAGAAAAATTTTGGTTAGAAATCAAAAGTGTATTGTTTTATAAGCTAAATATTATGCTTTCTCTATATGGATACAACAGACTATAACGCAAGCTGTTGCTAGGATATTTTATTAATTTTAATTATGTTTTTTAGACATTGTGAATGATCGTAAACTAAAAAGTATAAAGTGTAATTGAAACCACTAATTTATTCCACTAATTGGGAGGTTCTCAATGAAGCTTTAAAATTTTAGTGACGAATGGTTACTTCAAAATAATACACTACTCAAAACAATTATCGCATATTTGAATAAAAGTAATTATTACATATTTCTAAATGAAGCATGCATTTTTCTGCCTGTCCCTGGTGAATTTTCTTATAATAATTAGGGTATACACACTGCCATATTATTTTTGTCGGCCGACTATTTAGTTGCAAAAGTGAAAGAAATATATTCTACGGCCCACTATTTGATTGCATTGCGTAGCTTTAGGCTATACGCAATATATGTTAACAAGCAAATTTTAATCGGCCGACTATTTAGTTGCATATTTGTAACCAATATATCCTTATGGAGAGCCACGATCACAAGCGCGAGAACAATCGAGAATATTATAATGTAGAACTCTAACGATATGCACTTCCCATTACACCTTCTACCATCCTAAATGTAAAGGTATTTTAGGAGACTAGACGTCACCTCGCGTCATCATTTCCACTACTGTATGAAATATCCGCGTTTTACCAGAAGCGTGAGCAAAATGGTCATATAGCGACTAACGCCGGGTTAAGAAATAAAATGGCATCTTATTTTACAAAAAAAACTAAAACTAAATTTGAAATTAGTCCTTGTCTACTGATTTCTTTGGCATCTTTGGTAAACCCTGCCCAAGTAACAAAATTCCGACTTCCGACTAGTTTTGAGTACTCGCAACGTTGAAATTGGTACTTTTCCCTACCCTGTGCATACCCAAACTTCAAATTACGTAGCCAAAACGTCGCTACGACGTTGCACTTAAACAGTTGTATATTTTAACCCTTAACAACGTTGGCAAACGTTGTAGGCCACAACGTTGTTAGAAGTTGGGTTTTATACCGTTGTCATTACGTCGCCAGAAGGCATGTTTATTGTACTACAGAATATCAAACGCAGTACAACGTTGTGCGACGTTTCATTAAACGACCCAAAGCAACTTCAAAATTATAACCAATTACTACGTTGGATTAAGGCGACGAGCGCGACGATGTCGATTTTTGTTGTGGAAGCGGAACTATCTACACCTAACCTCAAAAAATTCTGTACTGTACTGTCACATAGCAATTGGATAGGTATTTTTTCTGTTGTACTTACTGTGTAAAGTAAAAGGAAGATGTATAGGAAAAAAGTATATAAATACACAACTTTTTATAGAAAAAGGAAAAGTATTTAGAAGAAAGTCAGCGAGCAAGTCAGTGTCCGAAAAATGAAGTGGAAATAACGAGTTAGGTTCGTCATCCATATCCTCGCAATGATGTATCGAAGGAACGTCCACTTCAATTTTGAAAAGTAATAGTGCTACTAGTGGTAGATTATCATGAATGGATACTGTAGAAATAAATAACAGTACACCTGAAGCCCATACAACAGAGGAATACTGTGAGAATAATGATAACAGTACACCTGAAGCCCATACAACAGAGGAATACTGTGAGAATAATGATCCTACAGACGAGCAGTCAACTGAAGTTCAGTTTCAGCATAAATTCAAGAGAATATTAGATTTTAATTTTCAAATGAGTGGTAAAATCATCAATGCTTCCTATATGGCTTTTTTTAACAATAAATAAATAGAAATACTGATCTAATGTCAGCGATCCTATTAACGAGTATGTGACCACCACCACCAAAGAATCCCAGCTTTCTTCTTTATTTTATTGTTCCTCGGTAAAAAGAGCACTGTAAGAAGAAATTTTCTTAATTACCTCCTAGATGTCGGTAGGGTTCAGAGGTCCTATTTCGTCAAAGCAGATGTCAATTTTTGAACCATAGGTTGTCATAGGTGACCCAAAGGTCAGTTACCGCACCTTATGCACTATATTGGTATTTTAAAGGTAGCCTTAGGCAACTCCGCCATTTTAATACGATTTATCTGTTCGTGCGTTGTGGACGAATCGAATAAAATATCAGAAACCACAAAATACTGCGAATTTCGTTAAAAAACTGTATCTGTTAGGGTTGTAAGCTAATTTTCCTGATATATTTCGTATATTTGTCTCAAAATTAAAAAAAAAAGAAGTTAGATTAACCAAGTAAACTATAATTTTAAAATTAAAACTAGGCAATAAAAAAGGGGGTTTGCCATATTTCGAAGTATCATGGTCACTTTCAACAGTAAACTAATCTTCGTTGATGAATTTCGATTGCCGATATCTCAAAACTGCAGATTTGTCGAAGTTAAATTCACCTAGTTATTTCTTAATAGAGCATAATATATTCCATTTCTAATTCATACATCATCAGCCATCACCAAGTTAGTCGAAATCAATGTTTTGGTTTCCCCATGGTTGAATATAGTAATATTTGACGACGAATATTTTTAACTCTAACCTCAAAATATCGCGAATCGGCATGAAAAACAACTTTTAGCACACGACGTACTACGTCGCCTCAAACAACGTCGCCAACGTTGGCGACGTTGTAGCGACCCTAAAAACATCCACCATTTTGGTGCCTATATAGGTCACTTAGACGTCGCTTCGACGTTGTCCGGCAACGTTGGGTTGCTCCTGGCGACGTTGTAATTACGTTGAACAACTATTTTGCTACTTGGGTGTACAATCGTAACATATTCCATAATTTCCTGAATTTCCCAATAGAGTAACAACACTCAAACACAGAACGCAATAGAGTAACAACACTCAGACACAAATTTCAAATAATAGAAAAGAATTTCGAATACGGTTACGGTTTGGCGAAAGTAAACTTACAAAATAGTAAATACAACTCAGTAGCATTCGCTCTTTATTCCAATACTCTTCAATACTGATTTATTGCGCTGCGTTATGCTTTCGATATCTGCCGACAATTTGGCCGGTTGACTGTCAGTAATGCAGTTCCGTGGATGGATCACTATCGGCACCGGAGAGAAGTCTTGAACCTACTCATTTCTAGTATTCGCTCTATTTTTTTACGGTCTTTCTAATGCTCTAATCTGCATTTTTATTAATTTAGTTTTATCAAAATAAAATACTAATTCACCACAATACACCAAAACACTTTACTTTTGCATCATCAGCAAATAATTAAAACTGGTTTAAAACTAACATTTGGTGCTAACATGGTTAGCTAAGCGCGTGTCTAGGGCAAAAGTAAAGTGTTTTGGTGCATTGTGGTGAATTGGTGTTCTATTTTGCTGTTTAGCACCAAATATTCCAAACCTCAGCTGTAATTTTAGTTTTATAGTAAAAATAAACTTGGATATAGAAATAATTATTTTCATACAATTAATTTATTTTAATACAGGATATAGGACTAATTATTTCTTTGGCACCACCTCGTGTAGCAGTCAATCAGGCAATGCATTATATGGATAATTTTAATTCGGGTAAGTAATAATAAAATTTGTATTTTTTACCGAATTAATATTAATAAGCTGATATCGTCTTGTTTACGCTATCCATAAACAGAATTATAACTCCTTTGAGACATTATTAACTGGAATTTAAGATGCCATAATTCCTTCCAACTTTTGTAGGTAACAACCATGAAATACAATAGAGATTTTGGGTAATAATATAAAATGAAAATGGACACTCATCTAACTATTCTCATAATTTATTTACATCATGAATGTCACATAATATAATAAATTTACAAGAGAACACACACACACACACAGTTTCATCGACATCCTCTTCTACAATGTTTTTCTATCCCAGCCACTGAAGGTATTTTTTATATTCCTTTTGGTAAATGAATTGACTTTTAGGTGGAAGTAACGCTAGTTGTGCTTTTTCAACTTATTTTTAATATTTCCTTCATTTTAATGGCAACTCGAACGTGTGCCGATTTCGTGCGAAAGGTGTTTTTTTTAACAAAAAACTGAGCTCAATTGACAATAATCATCGATTATTTATAAACATCAACAGGTCATTTAATAAAAGACTAAGTTGGCAACAAACAAAGTTCCTACCAGCTGCGTTAATACAAATAATATACCGGAAGATTGATAAGTGCAACATTTACGTCTTTTAGTACTACATTTACGACTTGTATGTATCTTTACTCACTGTCAAGTAAAATTAGTCATTTAAATAATAGTTGAGCTCAATTAGAGAATTGGTGATTAGAGAATAACTCCTTTCATTGGTAAGTCGCTTCCAAATATTCTTGATGTAATTGTTGCATCTATAAAAATATTTTCTTAAATCAAGAGCATAATCTTATCCCAAAACCATACGACTTTCATATATTCCAAACCAAACCAATTTCTGTAACTGAGATAAGGCTTAGTACAGTTAAAACCGTACTCTTAATTAAAACCGTACTCTTAAATGGGGGATACAATTTTTTGTTCCAGGTTCATAGAGTTAGATTCCCATACATTCCCGAAATTCAATAAAATATTTCTATTCCCGTGGGCTGCAAGGTCTTCAGATTGTTGTGCATATAGAACCGACTCCAGTCCTAAACCAGTTTTGCCTCCTGTGTTCCCTATTGATTATTTTAACTTCTAACCACTGTATTCTGTGCTGATTGCTCTCTGCGATACCGGGTTTTGTAATATCTTCTCCTGATACATTCTTCTGATGTTATTTGACTCTTATTGTTAAGAGTTTCTTTGAATATTGAAATTCAGTTGCAGATTGTAGTATTCTCAGATTGTAGTATTCTCAGGTTTAGTTTTTTTTCAATACAACCTTTATTTTATAATTGACTCCTATTTAGTAGGTAATTAATGCAAAGCTTGGTTGATGTTCTATGGTTTCCAATTCTCTTAACAGTTACTTCAATTATATTTGTGGGATATCCATTTCGTAGAAGTCATTTTTTATAAAAGTTTAGCATTAAAGACAATGTCAGTTCAAGATTAAGATTAGATTAGATTTTTCGAGGTGTCAGTAGTATAGCTAGCGGGATACTAGACCACTTTTTGCTCGATGGCATGTTTTCCATCAGCATCGATCCATGAGCCCAAGAAGTATTGACCTTGATTAATTTGAAGGTTATTTCTAAAGAAATAATTCTTGTGTGGGTAGTTCTTGTAAATTTACCAGAGGCTGTTGAAAAGGGCCTTAATGTAATTGTTGGGGGTGGGTGAGGGTAGGATTTTAAGGGTAAGCAGGAGGGTACTGCAAATGCTGCTTTGCCAGATGAAACTCAGTAGATTTAGGGAGTTTGCATATATGCCATGTTATAAGAGTTACATAAGTTGGGGTGCTATAGACGAGAAATTTCCTTAAAATTTAGGAGTATATAGGAGAATAGAAAGTATAGGCCCATTTTACTGTTTCGGATGTAATGTGGTCTTCCTTTTATCTTTAGGTTACAGTCTCCACTCCTATCATTTTTACAAAGTGTAGCAACTTGGAGACTGAACCCTCTATCTAGTCGGAAAAAGTAGCAAAATAAGCGTTTGGCCTTTAACGTTTTATATAAAACCAGCTAGGTATTTTTACACAAATGAAGAAGGAAATTAAAGATAAAGGATTATACTATATCCGTATTGTAGCACATTTTTAGACAACTTCTTTATTTTTAAGATTTTGATGGTCAAACATCAACAAAATATCCCTTATGTTTGGACTAAATTTTCTGGAATATAAAGACTTAATTTAAAATTTCCGTTACAATACGGAAATAGATTGAAGTTTTTTTATTACGGTGATATATCGTTTTATAAAAAATTGCTCGCTATTGTATGGCAAATGCTGAAGCTCTGCAGACCTTAAGCAAGCCTTAACCAAAGCACGTGAATTTTGGGTGTGGCTTAACACGACAGGATCAGGCTAAGCCTTAGGCAGATTTCTGAAATAAAATATATATTTCCTTCGGCCATACACCCGCTTTACCCGACTGCTGAGAGCAACTCGAAAGTAGAGCGTAATAGACTCTTAATAACCAAGCTTAATTAACCTTGTTAGCTAATGTGAACATGAATGTAGTTAGCTAATGATAGCATGAATGAATTTTCCACCATTCCAGAGATATGTTGGCCACCCACCGTTTTATGGCCATTTCCTTTTGCAGAGCCTTTAGAAGTGTTCTGGGCCTACGAATGACAAGCCCAAGGAGATTGTCAACTAAACTCAATTAACATCTAATTATTTTTAGGGCGATTTCAAAAGTTCGACTTTGGCCCAAAAGAGAACATGAAACTCTACGGTCAAAAAATTCCTCCCCTCTATAACCTGTCAGCTGTTACCGCTCCAATAGCCTTCTTCTATGGACAACAGGACAGTTTCTTTGTTGACGGGGTAAGAATTTCTTAAAATTATTTTATTCCTTGCAAACGACTGGGCATTTTGCCACTAAAACATAAAAACGGTGATTTTAGGAAATATACAGGGTGGTCCGAACTGTATTCCGGAAACTTCGGCAGCATATTCTGCCGATAAAAATAAGTAAAAAAGTTCGTATAACATGTATGTCCTAAAATGCTTCGTTTCGGAGATACAGGGTGTAGAAGTTTCATTTTTATTTCGATTTTTTCCAAATAATTTCTGAAGTAACGTCAATATTTGGATGAAAATTGGTGTCTGGGAGTTTTTTGACATGAGAAATTTGATTTTTATGTCAATATGACTCCTACTAGTAGAGGGTGCCACCTACATGTTTTTTTAACTAGTTTAAAGAGTAATAATTTTTTGTCCGTACCTGTATAAAACTACTGAGTAAAAAAATATACATTTACGACGTTTTTTACGTGAAAAAGGTCTCTTGGTATAAATCGCTACGAGTAATGGTCTTAGAGATATTTGGAATCGAAATTATCAATACCTGTGATCATTGACATAAACTAAACATGTTGACTAAATAGTTATTAGACTGAAATCATAAATTTGAAATGTTTTTGTGGCGATCGACTCAAAGTGTTTATTTTTCGTCAATAATGACATGTATTGACTATTTCAATTCTAAATATCTTAAGAACGGTTGCTCGTAGAGATTTTTACAAAGAGATATTTTTTACATAAAAAGTCACAGAGATGTATATTTTTTCACTCTGTAGTTTCATACAGGTACGGACAAAAAGTTATTACGCTTCAAAACAGTTAAAACACAAGTAGGTGGCGCCTTTTACTAGTATGAGTCATATTGACATCAAAATCAAATTTCTCATGTCAAAAAACTTCCAGATCCCAATTTTCATCCAAATATTGACGTTACTTTAGATATTATTTAGAAAAAATCGAAATAAAAATATAACTTCTGCACCCTGTATCTCTGAAGCTAAGCATCTTAGAACTTACATTTATACGAACTTTTTTACTTATTTTTATCTGCAGAATATGCTGCTGAAGTTTCCGGAATACAGTTCGGACCACCCTGTATAGCTATTTTAGGTTATGCTCTAAAAGAAAAACCAATTTCTCAGTGGTTATTTACTTCTAATCAAATTTGCTTCAGCCCCAGATCTAAGGGGGGGACAAACCGGGGCATCTGCCCCGGGCGCCAGTGTCAGGGGGCGCCAAAATCATAATATAATATGGTTGAAAATAAAAAAAAATGCTTCTAAAGTTCACATTCTAAAGTTTCATTCAGAACCTCGCAATTAGTGGAATAAATTAGCGGTTTCAATTAATTACAGTTTTTGCTTTTTAGTTTACGATCATTCACAATGTATAAAAAACACAATTAAAATTAATAGAATATCCTAGCAACAGCTTGCGGTAGTCAGTTGTATCCATAAAGAAAGCCAAATATTTAGCTTATAAAACAATAAACTAACCACGAATTTCTAACCACGATTTCTCTTGATGGATGCTAATCGATGGCGAAAATGACATTTCCCGCAAAATTTGAAGTATAATTAGTAGAAAAGTCAAAAGTTTGTTTACTTTTTCTACTAATTGAAAATGCCTACCACTAATTTAGACGTTCTGAATGAAATTTAAGGGCTCATTCTGTCCCGTTTACGAAAAATACCAACCTATATCTGGATATTTGTAAGTTTTTTAAATTAATTTATTGCAAACGCTGGAGAGAGGGGGCGCTACTATCGATTTTTTGCCCCGATTCAAAATAATTGTAGATCCGGGGCTGATTTGCTTTACCAACAAAATTCAAAATTTGTTTCTCTGGTCTTATTTTTCCTTTTCAAACTTTGTTTCGTTACTTAAATACAGGTTGTCCCATTTTCGTATGTTTTGCAGGGTTTCTCGTTTATAAGTAGAGCTACAAAGATGCGGTTTTCACATATTTTTGTCCCATTTTCATGTGTTTTTATTCAAAGGTTTGAGTCATATTTCAGAAATAATAGATCTCAGAGAAAAACTAGTTCGCCTCTGGAAGACACAAAGACATCTATATTACCAAGATACTAAGGGGGTCACAAAATGCAACATTTTCCCTGTATTTCAAAAGCCAAAGGGGCTGGGCAAATCTGTGTGTAGCATCTTTAGTTTCATAAAAAAGTAGCAAAGTAACGTGGAAACCGCATTTTTGTATCTCTATACTCATAAACGAGAAACCCTATAAAACACAAGAAAATGGGACCCCCTGTACTCTTAAATAAATAATTTTGTTTTTAGGATTATTATGAATCAGCTGAACTCCTTCCGAATGTGGTCCTTATTCACAGAATTTCGTACGACCGCTACACGCATTCTGACTTTATTTTGGCTAGGAACTCGACGGAATTGGCCTACGAACCCACTTACAAACTTTTCAAAGACTACGATGATGGAATAGTGCCTCCAAGAGTTAAGGTTCCCGACAATTATATTTAAATTTACAGCAAGAAAATGTGTATATCTCTAGTATTTTAGTGTGAGCAAATAGGTGTTTTTGTTGTTCTTAATTAGATATAATTTATTTAATTGACTGACTAAATAACATTACGATTAGCCCATTTTTCAATGGATTAATCTCAACACTTTTGAGTGTAGAGAGCAGTTTTTCAATCTTAGGTATGTTTAATCTGTGATAATTTATAAGAGAAGGGCTGCGGAGATTTTAAATGTTAAATAACTGAATTGGAAATATTTCTAACATTAGGTACATGAAAGAATGTGTAGTATAACTTTAATAATTATTAAAACAAGTTTTTTCCCGCGATTCGGCCCGCGTTACACAATCATCCGTGCATTTTCTTTATCTTTTTTTTTACATGTACAAATTTAAATGATCGTTTACCCCTATATAGATAGAGCTAATAAGCTTACAATTACACTCTTTAAACTATGTTTCGAAAATTAATAGTTTTAGAGCTAGCTATTCCTAATGGAAGATTTCAACTCTCGATTTTTTGGGAATTGTATAACCTTTAAAAACAATTAATTTTTTTATTTTTCAATTTTTTACACATTTTTTTACTTAAAATTTGTAAAAGCCTCTAATATAACAATTTTATTTTTATCATCTTTGTAGGGTATTATGAATTTAAAAAAATCGGAAAATTTAAACACCGTGTTTATTTTTTATTCTCTACATAGAAGTCTCTATATCATATAAATCCTCTACATAGTCTTATACTAAGGGCTGGCAAAGGTTAAGCTTGATTTTCATGCATCCGTTATCCGACGATACGATGGTACGATATTAATTTTATTGGTTGATTTTAAAGACTTAGATTGGTTAACCGTTTTTAACCAATCAAAGTCTTTCAATTCAACCAATAAAATTGCGGACAACGGATGCATGGAAATCAAGCTTTAGTCTTGGGTCGAGAATTCATTATGTAAGAAGAGTACAATGCGTTTTATAATGTAGTGAACAAAGAGAGAACAGTAAACACGCTGCCAAACGTGTGAAATAAGCCGAGAAACTGTGCACATTGCACATTGCTACGCTAAGAGACGTGAAAAGGGATATAAAGTTCTAGGGAAAGGTGTACATCATGCGTTCAGCTTCACGATTTAATTACGTCTTGTGATAATTTATTTGTTTATTTATTAACGAGTTGTTGTAATTTTTCCTATAGCTTGAACATTTTTAAGTGCAAGTTAAAAACACTTGCATTTTTGGTAAAAATAAGTCTCGAAATAAGTAGAATTAAGTTGGTGTTCGACAGTGGTCGCGCTATTAGAACTCTAAATTCAAAAATCGATATCTTGAAATCTATTAGAAATAATTGATATAGTCTATAAAATGAATAACTTTGAATTTTGACCGTTATTTTTTACCAACATGGCAAATATAAAATACCTCTGTCAATAAAGTTACTGATATTCTTTCAATTGAGTGACTGAACGAATCAGATAGGTAACTCTTTTTACTTTCGTGAAATAGAAAAGGAAAATTATAAAACAAGTCACAGTTCTGCCTCTTCTTGCAAAAATCAACACGAAATGGCATAATTGTCAAAAGTCAAATGTCATCAGCTTTTGGCATTTCTAAATATCAGACCAATGCCGTCTCTAATAGAACAGCCACGGAGCGAGATTTATGACATCACGCTAGTTAGATACTACGGATTAATAAATATGTTGTAGAATACATGGAAAACATAATTATTCCTCGTGTTTTTGGTTTGTATTTTAAAAATGATATAGTTTACATGAAATATACATAATATACAGTTAATAAATACAATATATTATATACCTATTTATAGTAATAAATACTTTGGCAAATAAACTATGAACCATACAAATGCAGCAAATGTTTTACAATATACAAATAATGAATAGGTACATAAGATAATGGGTAACATGTAAAATATATTTTAAACGTCGTAAATCTCGTTCCGAGGCTGTTCTATTAGAGACGGCATTGCGTCAGCATGGCTGCAAGTTGCTAACCTAATAAAATTAACACTAGAAAAGCCCGCGGGAACTGTCAAATTCAAAGTTATTCGTTTCACAGACTATAGCAGTTTTTCAAAAACTTTCTTCGCAAACAATATGTAAAAATCTTTTGCGTTGTTTAAAATTTTAGAATGGAAAAAACAACCTTATCCGATTTTTCTTATGTAAACATATTGTAAATGATCCGATCTTCAAAATAAAAAAAAGCTTCAATATTTAAAGTGGTTCTTAAGTTATGGCGTGTTACCTATGTGTTAAAAAGCTGAGTTTTTAAATTATCGCGATTGCTGACGTTTTCTCGCTATGAAAAAAAGGGACATCCTAACGAAATCCTTATAATTACATTTCAGATACTCAGAAACATATCTAATGATTTTATCTAGTTCCCTTTTCGAAAAAAAGTCTTAAAAATAAGCGATTTGCGATCGTGATTTTACTTTACTTGATAGGTAAAGGTATACCGCCAACAACGCAACAGCACACCGTCGCATTTCTCTCACTCCGACTTATTAAGATCCCTATGCGATTTCCTTCCACACACATGTAAATACCGACCTAAAAGTAACAGTTGCCAGCACGGTATTAGAAACTATGTATACCAAAAATTTAACTTTTAGTTACCCTTTTTTATGCCTTCCTGAAATAAACAATTTTAATAATTCTGAAAGTTATCAAAATCAAAGTATTTCACCAAAGAATTTTGGCCTCAAAATCATTTGTACAGAAATAGAGATTATACAATGTAAAAATGCTTCATAAACAATCTGCAAACATATAGCTTTAATTTAAAAAAAAACATCAAAATTGGTGCAAAGCGGTGGCCACGTGATGGGACAAAAAAAACTTTTTTAAGTTTTTATATAAATATATGGATAACTATTGCCATAATCAAGTTTTATGTTTATTTTGAATAATTAAATTATTGTATTTAATTATGTAAATTATTTAAATTTTAGGCTGTCAACAGGGGACTAGAATTCTAAATATAAATATTCTAGTATTTTTTTTATCTAACTAATATTCTAGTATTAACCGGAAAATTAGTAAGATTATTAATGTTATGCTTCTATTAATTGTAAATTATTATAAGTATTTTTATCTTCTCGTCACAGCTTATTTAGTACCAGCTGCCCAAGTAGCATCTGAACGTTATCTAACGTCAGGTATACGTCGCGTTCAATAAACCCGACGTCGGGTACCAACGTCGGTTCGACCGCCTGACGACCCTTATTTGCACCTAAATGGAGAATACAGATTCGAGTCGCCTCGACGTCGGTATCTGATATAATAGGGAATGTAATTCTACCAATTACCAACGTCATATTACGTTGGATTTTAGTCACTTAAAATTCGTCGCTAAGCACTTACGTTACGTTTGGTTTCATATTCGCTACCAAGAATACATAAAAACCTAACCAAACTACCTAATTACAAATGGATTCATAATCAATCCTGGAATATAACTATAAGTGCCTACCTAATTTCATATTATAATAATTCTGAATCATTAATCCAGACATCAGTTTTGTCAACGGAAGTCACTTTTTTTAAATATCTGATTAAAATACTCCTGAAAACAACGAGCGCGTTCAAAATTAGGTAGATTTATGAAATAAAAATATCTATAAAAAAGTAACTCGCAAAATATTTTTTTTATTTTCTAGCTGGTTTAATCAAACTGTACTGTGGTTCACACAAACTCAACCTTATCAATATTATTCTACTAGAAATCGGAATGTGAATATAAATTTTAAAAACAAAAAACTATTTTAAAATGGCTGACAATCGGATACTTGTTAAGAATGGCGGATTTCTGTGTCCGACTTAATATGAACTACCAATATACCAATTCCGACCGGGTCTCCAACATTAGTCGTCTCACATGACCGAAGTCATCAAACCGGACGACCGGCAATCGTATTATGACGTATATAATTCCAACGTACGCCACGTAACCTCACTTTGCGTATCAGTGATTTGTGGATTTGTGCAACTATATTTTAGTTTTTGTTTTCTCCTTAAAAAAAAAGGACAGCCACTTTTTTAAGATAGTATATATACAAAATTTCAAAGAATTGGAACCAGTACCTCACATGTGGGAGGAGGATGGGGTCTGCTGGTTTCCTCAGCTAAAAAATGAAATTAAGATGCACCAGTGTAATGCAGCATCTCTTCCGGATAAAAAGCATTCGTGGGTGGAGGCAAGACATCACTACTACTATTATTATTTTGTAAAAGCCTCGACCTCTTTCTGTAAAATGTGGATGAATCTCTAAATTCCTTTTTAGTGTTTTTTAGGCATAATAAAAAAAACTAAGTTTGTTTACAAAAACTTTTTATTAGGTTATGTTCATGATGTTCATTAGGCCGCAAATGCTACTTAATGGGTTGTATTTACGGACGTAAATAGAGATACGTAAATTAGGAATATGAACATAAATATAAATATGAACATAAAATGCTACATAATATATTTGGACGTTACTTTAGGGATTCATCAGTGAGACGTATCCTATTCGGACAACAGGTAGACGTCGGGCTAGTTCAAGTATATGTACGTCGTGCAAGCCAACGTGAGAACGACGTTGGGAAATTAATAAAAATGGTACGTTGTTATTTTGTACGTTGACAGATCGTTGGATTTACTGACTCGGATCCAATGACGTCGCTTTTAATAGGAAAGCGACGTCACCGGTCGTATCACCAGCACGCGACCTAAATTTGCCCTAAGTCTGACGTCGCTTTAGGTCAGATTTAGTTCGAAGTCAGATAGATGCTACTTGGGTGAGCATCTTCGTTTGTTTTGCGTTTCATCTGCCACGCTTGGCCACGCTACTCTTGTACAGGATGGCTCGAATTCGACGCTGATCATTGGGATTTCGGAAACCGTAAGAGATACAGGATCGGTTAAATGGAGGCAAAGTTGCGCAATTTGATGCTCAATAAAATGCCGTATTGCATTTTTATTTTTTATTTTGTTTTTTTTGCATAAAATATTCTGGTGATGGAATTTTCTGTACGAAACGTCGGCAAATATAAAAGTGACTATAATATAGTGTTTTAAGAGTGATGAAACGATTTAATTAAATTGAAAAAAAAAATCAGGTCCGTATTTAAAAAATTAAGTTGATGATGGTCGCCAGAAGCTAAAACGTCAGAGTCAATATTTAATCACACAGAGTTATAAAGCAGAAAAAGTGGTCATGAAAATGTTTTTTTTTAAGTTATCTTAACAAATAAAGCCAGGAAACAATAGAAAACAAAATTGAAAATTCCGTTTTTTTTCGAATATATTCGGAATTTTTCAAAATGCAATACGGCATTTTATTGAGCATCAAATTGCGCAACTTTGCCTCCATTTAACCGATCCTGTATCTCTCTTACGGTTTCCAAAATCCCAATGATGACCGTCGAATTCCAGCCACCCTGTACATATACGAGTATTGCGAGCAGTCAGACTCGATCGTTCTTAAAAACGAAGTGGCATTAGAGGTCAGACCAAGACTTGTTAGATAGAATAATCTAGGTACACAATAGTAGATATGCTCACTATTCACTGTAAGTATAGAGTAAGAATAGACTGCGGTATCGTTATTGAAAATATCTCACTTGGTTTCGCTCTAAACTCTATAATATACTTTAATTATATTATAAATATTAAAAATATCAACGTGATTATAAAAATAAAAGTTCTTTTTAAAGGATTTTGAATATAGGAATAATGTTTATGGCTCACACTGGGATGCTCACACTAAAATATTTCTGTTATTGATCGGATTAAAAAAGGATATGTCTAGAAAATTAAA